GATGAGAGTCACGTTAATGCCGATCTACCTGCTATGCGAGATGAAGAGGAACCTATCAAGTTCTGGAGAGCGTGGCTTATTCCTGGCGTATTGATATTCGCTCTGACCTATGCATGTGTTAAGGGTGTAAACTACGCTATGTTCTTCTGGCTACCACTTTACTTGAACGAACATGCTGATATTCCTCCTGAGAAGGCCAACCTATTCGATATGCTGTACAACATAGGCACGGTATTTGGTTGTATCATCTGCGGTTGGGTATCAGATTACATGGCTAGGGTACAAGGATCAGGAAGATCTCCATCACTCTTTTTCTTTATTTTCTTGGCTTTGATCCCAGTATCTCTGCTGCATGTTGACGACCCCACAGTTGTCTATTTGAGCGTGATGTTGCTCCTGGCAGGCTTCCTGATTGGAGGTGCATCGAATCTTGTCGGTAGTGTGGTATGCACCGATATTGGTCGTCAAGATGCTCTCAAAGGTAACCGCAAAGCAGTGAGTCAAGTGACCGGTATCATCGATGGCACTGGTGCATGCGGAGCCGCTGTACAGCAGGGATTAGTCTCATGGATAGCTACCTATAGTTGGGACGGTGTTTTTATATTGCTACCTGTTTCTCTCGGACTCTCTTGCATTCTTCTTGGGACACGAGCCTATAAGGAGACTAAGGGATTCCTGAAGGGGTTTAGGTCTCCCAGGCAGCAGAGAGTTCCCACCGATGTATCTAAGTGAACATTTTTGAATATTTCTTTCTTCATGTTTCTTTTACTACTCAAACGTCTCTCCTGTGATATCAGTCGTACTCTAGTCCTCGCGTGATTGACTGTACCACTGAAGTCGATTTAATTTAATATCGTTTCACATCTCTTAGACCTCGAGTTGTAAATTGGTGCTTGTCCGTCTTGTATTTACGAGAGTAGACTTGGGTAGTTGTACTTGTACATTTTCTAGGATCAACTTTCCCGATAGAGTAGTCTATGCCACTGCAAGATTTGGCTAAGTAGGATCAACCCTCGCGAGAGGGGTGCCTATGCCAC